TTACTGTTCACGCCAAATTAGACGTGACAACGCTGCACTCATATTTTTCTAAGAAATATTACATTGGCAACGACGCATAGGCAATTTGCATCTCAAGATTCAACTACAAAGGGTCCTGCTATACCTGAAGGCCGGCACTAACAATATAGTCTTAACCCGGTCGCCAAGCTATCCACACATTCAAATATTCCAATATTATATCAATACTAAAACTTTATTATACAAACAGTGTAAATTATATTCTATAAATAAATAAGTGTAAATCTATTTGTTATCAATCAATATTTACATTTAAAAACGGTTGATAGAGCCACTAATTCTATCTGGTCCTTGAGCTTACACTTCACAAAAAACATTGGTCCAAAACGAACCGGATGCGTCACCAGTGCGAAGAAAATAATTAAAATCTTAAATCTAAATCAAAAATTAAATAAAGTGAAAGTTCTAAACAAGACAGGAAGTTCTAACTTTGGCGCTACACCTACGAGCGAGCACAGCAAGCAGCGAGTATATCAGGTTAGTCAAGCATTCCTTCCTATCAATCTTTCCTTATTTTAATATTTAGAGTTTTAATTCAATCTGTGTCAAAATGGAATCATTAAATAAACTCAAAATGAAACAGCGAGTTACTAAAACACGTTTAACAAAATACGAAAAAGTGTGCAGGCAAATGTCGGAACTACCTGCTTGCGACTTAAATATTGCAGACATAAAACGCCTTATCGATGATGTGAAGCCTTTGTTTGAAATCTTTGAAAACCGTAATTAGTATAACAGCATTACTAGAAGACGAAAGTCAAATTAATAATTTAATAGAAATAGAGTTAGATGAATTTTTTGAAAAACATAATAATTGTTTATCAACTTTACTTAAACTTAGTCAGGCAGCATCAAGTAAGTCAGATACTAGTTCGAATAGTAATTCTAATGATACCACTATAACAAATAATTCGAACAACATAAAACTACCTCAAATCAATTTACCTCAGTTTGACGGCTCTTACTTAAATTGGCTACAATTTTATGATTCGTTTTTCTTTAATTCATAATGATTGTAACATCGGTAATTCTCAAAAATTTTATTATTTAAAATCATGCGTAAAAGGAGAGGCGGCAAGCCTTATAGAGTCTCTACCGGCAACTGCCGATAATTATATAATTGCGTGGGATTTACTAAAAACGCGTTTCGAAAATAAGAAAATAATCGTAAACAATCACATTAAAAAATTATTTGATCACCCGCCAATGCATAACGAATCAGGTAAAGACCTTCGTAATCTAATAGACGCGTTTAATAACATTTAAGATGCTTAAAAATGTTACAACAACCCGTCGATCAATGGGACGCGTTATTAAATTATCTTGTAATTTCTAAAATTGATAAGAAAACTCATCAAGAGTGGGAGATGTTAATGAATAAAGGCTCTGAACTAGTTACATTTTCCGAACTTAGCAATTTTTTAAATCAACGCTGCACAATATTAGAAGCAATTAATCCGACTGAAACAAGAATCGGAAACTCTAGTAAATTTAAAGATATAAAACCTAATTACACAAAACATACAAAGTCTTACGCTACATCCACTAATCACAAAAATATTTGCCCAATTTGCAAAGAGCCATTTCATTCACCGTTCAAATGTCAAGGTTTTCGGACACTATCTCCAGAAGATAGAGTAAGCAAAGTAAATCAATTAAAACTATGCACGAATTGCTTACGTTACAATCACAACAGCGATCAATGTACTTCTTTAAATCGTTGTGCCTTTTGTAATTCAAATCATCACAGTCTTCTGCATATAGACTCAAGCCAATTACCAGCTGTTAATAATGCACCACAAAATGTTTCGTGCCATACCGAAAATGATTCAAGTCAAATCATCTTATCTACCGCAGTAATTAACGTATTAGATAGCAATAATAGATATAGAGCATGTAGAGTATTATTAGATTCGGGATCACAATCCAATTTCATCACGGAGAAATTTGCTAATGAGCTCGGTTTACATAAACAATCAATAAATATGTCAGTCCGGGGAATAAATCAAAATTCAACGGAAATTAAGTCAAAAACAACAATTACTTTAAAATCGTGCATTAATAACTTTTTCATTAGATCTATCCTGCTTTATCTAAATAATATAACAAATAATTTGCCGACGGTGTCATTCAATAAAATATTTTAAATATCCCAAATTATATAAAATTAGCGGATCCCACATTTAATAAAAGCAATAAAATCGATATTTTAATAGGTTCGGAAATATTTTGGAATATATTTTGTAAAGGATATATTCATCTAGGAAAAAATAGACCTATTTTGCAAAATACACAGTTCGGGTGGGTTATTGCTGGCAGCGTACCTCTCAACAATTCCAGTTCTTTTACGATATGTCATCATACGGCTAATTTAGAAAATCAAGTTCAAAAATTCTGGGAACTGGAAGCGTGCAGCGATATACAAACATTTTACCGAATCAGAAAAACAGTGCGAACAACATTTTGTTGCCAATACAACGCGGGCAAACGACGGGAGATTTATAGTTAAAATTCCGTTTACAGACAATATAAAAAAAATTGGGAATAGTAAGCAAATCGCGTTTAAACGTTTTATTTCACTTGAAAACCGTTTACGAACAAACAAAAATCTATTTAACGAATACAAAATTTTCATGAATACTTATATAACACTAGGGCACATGAGCGAAGTCAACGAATCTTCCGAACCCGCGACGTGTTTCTATTTGCCTCACCACGGGGTGATAAAACCAGACAGTTTAACAACGAAATTGCGTGTAGTTTTCGATGCATCTTGCAAAACCGATGCAGGCCTGTCGTTGAATGAACTACAACTTGTTGGACCCACAATTCAAACAATTTTTCTCTATTATACTAAGATTCAGAAGACATGCGTTTGTACTTACAGCTGATATAGAAAAAATGTACAGACAAGTTTTGGTTCACGAAAACGACAGAAAAATGCAAAGAATATTTTGGAGGGACAATCCTAGCAGCAAATTAAAAATTTATCAATTAAATACAGTTACATACGGGACAGCTTCTGCGCCGTTTTTAGCCATACGCTGTTTGGAGCAGTTAGCCAGAGAAAACATAACTAACTATACAAAGGAATGCGAAATTCTCAGAAATGATTTCTACGTTGACGATTTATTAACTGGAACTGATAACATATCCGAATTATTCACTATTAAAAATAACCTTTGTAATATTTTACAACAAGCTAAATTCAATCTATATAAATTTAATTCTAATTATTCAAAACTTTTAAATGCAGATAATCCAACTTTAAACATCGGTGAACAAACTATCAAACTTTAGGTATATCTTGGAATTCGGTAACAGACAGTTTTGAATTTGACTACAAAAATATAAGAATAAATCAAATAGTTAGTAAAAGATCCATTTTTATCGGCAACAGCGCAAATGTACGATCCTATGGGCTTTTTATCTCCAATTATCGTCATACCAAAACTAATAATTCAAAGCCTATGGCGATTAAACTTATCATGGGACGAGCCCATTCCTTCGGAACTAGAAAATAAATGGAAACATTTTGTTTCGAAATAAAATCTATTAAAAACTTGAAATTGAAAGACATATATTTTGTAATAATCGTATAAACACAGAATTACATGGCTTTGCTGACGCATCAGAGCAAGCTTACGGCGCGTGTATATATGTACGGTCTATTAACAAATATTCTGAAATCAAAATCAAACTAATAGCGGCAAGATCTCGAGTAGCACCATTAAAAAATATTACACTCCCCCGTCTCGAGCTTTGTGCGGCACAACTACTAGCAAATCTTGCGCAAATAACGAAACGTGCATTAAATATCGCGTTTGACAAAGAATTCTATTGGAGCGATTCCACTATCACTCTTTCGTGGATAAGATCTCCATCTTATAAATGGAAAACCTTCGTTGCCAATAGAGTTTCTGATATTCAAACAAAAACCGACGCAAATAACTGGCTACATGTCCGATCGGAACAATCCAGCGGACCTCATATCACGCGGGTGCTATACACATGATTTATTGAATTCATCCTTGTGGTGGGCAGGCCCATCTTGGCTACAAAATCTAACTGAAACACAGCGACGTGCAACTGACAATATTTCAATTCCTGAAACTGATGTCGAAAGTCGAATCACAAGTTTGACTTGTACAAAAATTAACAATAACGAACATTTTTTCTTATACTCTTCCCTTATTAAACTCGTGCGCGTAACTGCTTTTTGTTATCGATTTTTACAAAATTTAAAACTAAAGAAGAAAGAAAAAGAACTACTGTATGGCCCACTCACGGTCGATGAATTCAATAATTCACTAAACAAGTTAATAAAAATATCACAATATGAAATATTCAAACAAGACATAGATATAGTCGCGCGTGGGGAAGCATTACACAAATCGTCGAAATTAAAATCATTAACACCGTTTTTAGACAAAAATGGAATATTGCGCGTCGGCGGTAGGATAAAGAATTCAAATTTACCGTATGATAAATGCCATCCGATAATACTACCAAAAAATCATCAATTGACTATTCTAATAACTAGGCATGAGCATTTAAAACTGTATCATTGCGGAGCACAGATGTTATTAAATGCGTTGCGTAATACTTATTGGCCTATCGGAGGCAGAAACCTGACAAGATCGATCGTGAAAAAATGCGTAACATGTTTTAAGGTAAAACCCACATTTATTAATCCAGTAATGGGCAATTTGCCTAAATATCGCGTTACACCGCAGTCACCTTTCTTTATATGCGGAGTAGATTACGGAGGTCCTATCTTATTAAGAGATCGTCAAACAAGAGGATACAAAAAATTTAAGGCTTACATATGTTTGTTCGTGTGCCTTGTTACAAAAGCAATACATATCGAATTAGTATCTGATTTAACTACGAATAGTTTTTTAGCCACTTTTAAACGATTTATGGCGCGACGCGGAAAACCTCGCGAAATCTATTCCGATAATGGAACAAATTTTATAGGCGCAGCATCAGGATTAAAGGAGCTTTATAAATTTTTGCAAACAAAATCAAATCAAAATAAGATTGTTAATGATATGACCAACGAAGGCGTGTCATGGAAGCACATTCCACCAAACTCTCCTCATTTTGGAGGAATTTGGGAGGCGGGCATAAAGTCGTGCAAGGCTCATTTAAAGCGAGTATTGGGTAATGCTATTTTAACTTTTGAAGATTTTATACGGTTTTGACACAGATCGAAGCAATATTAAACTCGAGACCAATCTCTCCCTTAAGCTCCGATCCCAATGACTATGATCCTTAACTCCTGGTCACTTTCTTATTGGAAAATCCTTAACATCTACTCCCGATCCATCAGTGCTTGAAACCCTTGATAACAGGCTTTCTCGGTATCAACGACTACAGAAACTTGTGCAACATTTTTGGAAGCGTTGGCACAAAGAATACGTATCGGAGCTGCAGGCAAGAACAAAATGGCAAGTTCAACCATCGCAATCAGCTGAGGTAGGCGATATGGTAGTGGTCAGAGAAGACAATTTACCTCCACTACACTGGCGATTGGGGCGTATTCTTGACACACATCCAGGAGATGATGGACTTGTGCGTGTTGTGACAATCAAGACACAAAATGGTGTACTCAAACGTGCAATTAATCGAGTTTGTGTGTTACCAAAACAATAGACAATATAAATCAAACCAATAGACTGTTATTAACTCAAAGTGTTAAACTATAATTCTAATTTGAAATCATATACCCTATATTATTTCAAGGGGGGGAGAATGTTCACGCCAAATTAGACGTGACAACGCTGCACTCATATTTTTCTAAGAAAATATTACATTTGCAACGACGCATAGGCAATTTGCATCTCAAGATTCAACTACAAAGGGTCCTGCTAAATACCTGAAGCCGGCACTAACAATATAGTCTTAACCCGGTCGCCAAGCTATCCACACATTCAAATATTCCAATATTATATCAATACTAAAACTTTATTATACAAACAGTGTAAATTATATTCTATAAATAAATAAGTGTAAATCTATTTGTTATCAATCAATATTTACATTTAAAACGGTTGATAGAGCCACTAATTCTATCTGGTCCTTGAGCTTACAACTTCAACAAAAAACACTTACAAATAATATGTTTTTACTTGCACAACCTTCATCGTGCAAGAAAGAAACATTAGAGCATAATATGAGTGAAATATATTAGCAAAAATTATATCATTTTACATTTTTTATTTTTTACATTTTACAATCCTGATTTAATGCGCCAACTTTTGATGAAACTTGCAAAAACCCTTTAGTACATATTATTTGAAGAAGGGCTTCTCAAAGTTTACCGGTTTTAAAAATTTTGAATTTATAGTTCAACGAAAAGGTTTGGTTCTTGAAAATATGGGACAATTGTGGTATTTTTTTACTGTGGTCATGGAAATGTTATTCATAGTTATGGTTCCAAAGTTTAAATAAACAACATTAGTAAAGTTTAACCAAAATAAGCAAAAACTCGTTATGATTTCATCAAAACTCTAAGTTGTAAAAAAGCTCATAATTCTCAAACAACGTTAAATAATTTAAAAAAAAATTTTGGGAAAGTTAATGTCAATACTATCACCTCGTTCCGGTTTCGATCAAGATCTCGGACTCGGTCATACTCTCACATTGATTATTAATATTTACAGCAATGTATAATTAATATAATATACTTTTTATATATTGAACAACTCTAATAAGCTACGTTATGAATAAAAATGCATTGATAGTGATTTTTTTTGTTTATTTTTCATAGCACATTCAGCTATATATTAGCTATACATTGATGGTGATTGGCAAAATTTTAAGTAACGATCAATTAAATTATGCAACTATATGAAATTTAATAAATTAATTATTATATGTTAGAAATTTTGGTTTTCGAATGACTACATTACAACAATGCACTTAAACTTTCTAATATAAAAATTTTAATGAGATTGAAACATCACTATTAATTATAATAAAAACCATTACAGCTGGTACAGGGCGAAAAATCCCAAACTCGGAGGAGAATCTTTCGAGCGGAACCGCCTCGTAATGAATTGCATTCACGGACCGAGTACAAGAGTAGTAGATGATGAGCAAGGGGATGGTAGCAATGTAATATAATATATTCACAAATTAGTTTCAGTCACGGATGAGGTCTAACTATTAATCATTTACGGAGAAAATATAACATAAATGTATAAGTATAACCGAAAACCAAGTGGCGGGGGATTGGGATTGGAGAAGTAAGGGATGACACACAGGATCAAGCTTTTAGACGATATAAAATACCCAATACAATGATGAAGCTAATGGTACATAATTGAAATATTTACGCACACGAATGTATATATATACACACACACACACACACACATATATATATATATATATATATATATATATATATATCGGAAATACATCAAATTAATAATTGTGATATTTTCAAAATCTTTATTTTTAGTTCAGACGTTTTGTGCATTGTTCTATATCATCTTCAGTGAGTTTTTACCCGATGAAAATCAGAAACAAAATAAGAATTAAGAGTAAAAGCTACGAAACTCAATGGAATTACAATTAAAAAAAGCGATGTTGAAAATACTTACATGGTTATTGTTCCAATAAATACTAAAACCAGTTATTTACAAACTTTGTACATAACAAATGTATTACATTAAAAAAAAAATATTCAATTTGAGGAAATTATTTTAACAAAATGTTCAATACGACCTCATACTTTTTATAGGATGAAAATGTATCATTCCACTTATTTATATTTTTTTGTACAACTGAATTAGGCAAGATTTTGCGAGATGTCTCTGGGCAACGTCAAGATTAAAATTTTGACTATAATTGTTTGTACGATTAGTCATCAAAATTTGATTCTGATTCTTATTTTTAGTTTCATTGTAGAGTTATTTCAGAGGTTTTCCAACTGATGTCTCATTCTTTGTATTCAATTTTGTATTCTATGTTGTATGATCGATCCACACTTTTAGCATACATACCTCAACATCAAATATAAATGATTGATAATATAAAAATAAATCTATATATTTCAATTCTACTAATTGATAGCTATAATAATTGGATTCTCATCAAAAGTTGCAAATTTATATTTGAGCAAAAATGTTATATATTAACGTTATAAAACACCTTCAATATATTTCAAAAATTGTATTTGTTGGTCGATATAGAAATAGGTGGTTCTATGATAAATCTATTTTACAAATTCATCATAGTTGAAGTTAAAACTATGAGTTAAAAATTCTCATGCGATTCTATAAGAACAAAATGAAATTTTCTTTTGTAAATTAGTGCATAAATCAATCTTATAAATCTAATATAATTTTAAAATAGTAAAAAGTAGTAAATGTAAATTGTAGTAAATGTAAATTGTTCCATGTTACTGGCAAATCTCGTAGTATTTTCTTAATCCAAAAAAATATTATTGCAAAACTTTGCTACTTTGCTGTTAGATTATAACTACGCTTTCAATTTAACTTCAATAAAATATCTACTATAGCCTTAAAAGGTTATATCAAATGAATTATTCAATTCATATAATATTAATAATTGTTCCTTGTTACTGGCAAAGCTCGTAGTATTTTCCTAATCCAAAAAATATATTATTGCAAAAAATCTACTTTGTTGTTAGATTATAGCTACGCTTTTAATTTGAATTCAATGAAATATCTACAATAGCCTTAAAAGTTTATATCAAATGAATTATTCAATTCATAATCAAAATTTTTTATAGATAATAATAGATAGTTATTTCATTACAGATAGCATTAAATACTTCGAATCGTTGTTTTATATTTACAAAAGTTATTATTTTATATTTAACATGAAATCAATATAGCATTCCCTTTATTAATTCGAAGCCATAGGAAGTATCAAAAACCAAGCATCATCGATTTGCGATTTAAAACGTTATACATAAAATCAAAAAATACAATTTGATAAATAACCTTCTATTTATTTACTGCAAAAAACTCAAAATAAACACAGTTATCGCATATATCATCATTCTAAACGATGCGTCAATCAATCAATCCGTTGATTTTTGTCGCCCGGACACCCCTTTCGTTCATTTCTCATGGAGGTACGCAGACCGGCTTTGGCAGGCAGTTCTAGGTTGACGTTGATGTTTTCACTAATAGACTGGTCGTGCAAAACGCCTGATCAGAATCACGAATCCTAGTGATTCGAGGGAATTTAGCAAGTAATACTGCCTACTTTGGCGAAATGAAAGGGTAAATCAAGGAGGGAAAGGATAGATTCAATGCTTTTACAGCGATAATTAATGAGTATTTTATGTCGACATTTGTTCTGCGATGATTTAGGTTTGGAGTGCATTTGTTCATCCTCAGAATTGCAATAGGAATCAAAATAATTTTGTTTCCGGTATGTTGTCAAACTAAATTTAAATATAAGTAGACACACTTTATAAATGAAAATAATTAACTAGTTATAGTAGCATTTTGTAAGTGGCATTTTGCCTCAAAGCAAGGTGCATAAATTTCCCGACATCTATAAATAATCGAACTTAATCAGTAAAAAATCAATATATCAATTTAAGAGTTATTTATAAATATACTGAGTTCTAATAGGACACTTTAAATGTTAAACTATTGCAGATTATTCAATTTTGTAAAAAAATATTACATACTGGTTTAACATCAGATCATTACAAACAGGTTTCTAATACATCCATGGAGAAATTAATTCAAATTTTAGTTATTTTCGCAGGACTTGAGTATTTTAGTATGTTTATTAAAACCTTTGATTCGTACTCTATCATACAAAATTAAAACCACAAATTGAAAATTCTAACAATTAATTACAAAGATTTGGCCTATATTCACTCTTTATCAATAATGTAATCAGCAAGATTTTCAAATTATATCTTTCGAATAGTTGCTGAATTTTTAAAACCTTTTCAAGATTTTTGGCTAAGACGTAGACTTTAGACTTAAACGTGGATTTTCTGCTAATTCTAAAGAAAAAGCTCTGCAGATCCTGCTCGATCGTAAACTATTAAAAGCCCGCTGCTCAATTTTCCAAAAATAAATTTTAGAAATTAAACTACTTGTCGTAGTTGTTATATTTTAGTACGTTTTATAGTCCATGTCCATCTAAAGTTAGAAAACATTTCATAAAAAAAGCTGATGCATTGTCTGTCGAACATATTCTA